TTCTACACACATGAGGCTATGTTCTCACACTTGGCCCGTCTCCAGAAAGTCACAGATGTCTTTTCACGACTTGCTCAAAAACATTCCTATATGAAAAGGTAACAATAGGCATCAGACCGTTTTTTGCCACTTTTCTACCGCAAAACTTGACATACGACTACCACGAAACTTCTCATTTATAATGTTATGTCTCCTCTACCGGACGACACTTCAAACGCAGGTGAGGCGTGTCTAGTTCGCCGGCTACACTGCCTAGAACACCTAGAACTGTTAGTGTCGAGCATAGAGTGGAGGTTCCGTACTTTTGCTAAGTTTCTATTGCGAATTTCGATGAGGTTCAAACAGGGTTGTGTCCGAGCTGTGAACCTGTACCAAAATACGTCCCGCCCTTGCCGTTCGGTCGTCTAGTTCGTCTAAAATGTCACATATTTGACAATTTTGTAAGATCCGTAACCATTATGAGGATTCCTTATGTGGTTTATAGGGTAATTTTGTAACTTATGAGTGGGAGCTCGGATCTTCGAAATCTTGAGGCGAAATCTAGGGACGGTAGAAAACAACATACTATACGAAAAACTCGAGAAAGCGGAACTTATTTCTCGGCGCACAAAAGTCAAAAGTGACCTTTTCGCAGAGAACTGCTCCCGAACACGAAAAACAGAGGCGCAGCGTAGGCTTTTCAAGCTGTGTCCTCTCTTTCTCCCCCCCCCCCATCTCTTTCTGCTGGAGATGGTAGGAGAATTGTTACCGAGCGTTTTGGCTGTATCCCCCGCGGACTTGCTAGAGCTGCCGGAAAATGATGAGAGGGTTGGGGGATCATAGGGGGTGATCCAGCAGCAAAGCTATTCAGCTCACTTTTACTACTGATTTCCCTTAGGGACTCAAGGACAGTGCTCGGCGGAAGGCAGGACACTGAGTCTGCAATTTGTCATATTTTGCTTAGTTGAAGCAGACTGCGAAGGATAAGAGAGAACTTAAGTCAAGGCAGGGCGGACACACGCACCTCTCAGTAGTAATAAAAAAAGGATCATATAGGTGCCCTGCTTCCTAGACAGATTTCTCTTTTAATTGAAATACATGCTCTTGCTAAAAGAACTTGTACTTGATAATCTACTGTTATAGAACTCGACAGCTTGATACGCGACTGTTCAATACAACTGCTGGTGCGGCCGTACTTAAAATGTTCAACGAGTAAGCCGAGAGATGAACACTCAGTGTCTCGACAATGTTTCCATCGTCATTCTTTCCCTCTGGGCAGGCCTTTAACTTCACCCCAACGTCCATAACGCCAGCGAATAAACGGAAGGGGAAAAACGACGGAGGTGAAGCTCGATTCATTTTCGTTGGAGAGGAAAATGATAGGCTGTGTGCATTGAGTGTCGTAACTGCGGTCGGGACGTGGCGCGGCATGGTAGGGCAGGTCGGGGGAGTTATGGCTGACCCACCTTACTCGGGTCTGTCCCCACTTCTGTCTCGACAGATGATTTCGGTAAAAAAAAAGAGTGAAATTAAACGACGTTCAAGTATGGGCTGTTGCAAACTTACAACATATTTTTTTAAAATCAAAATTACAATAAATGTTGTAAAATTTCGATGATATTTTTCACAGTTTATGTCAACAGAAACATTGTTGGAATATTTCGGCGCATATACCTTGGTAATTTTGGGCGCATACAATCCAACGACGTCACACATAGTTTGTGAAGTGGACAGTGATGTATCCACTTTAAAAAAATCGTAAGAAAGGTCCATCCTCAGCCCGGCTTAGTTGAAATAGAATTAGAATCATGTCATGTATTAAAAAAAAATGGAAATACACCATTTTCCTTTTAAAAACTTTACTTTTTGATCATGCTCATTTTTTTTTTTTTTTAAAGCGACGTCCCCTGTGAGAAGGTTATATAGAGGTAGGTGGCCCCAAGCGGACGTGGTGGGGGAAAACGGTTACTCCTGGGACGGCCCGGGGTTCGCTAATCCGTCCCCGCGCTCGCTGACCTGTCATTGGGTGACAAGGGAAATGGTTCCCGCACTATGAGAGCTTGCGGCCACCTAACTCTATATCACCTTAACGTGTAAGGGGCAAGATAAAAGGGGTGGGGGAGGGGGCGAATGTCTGAATGTGATATGTGCGTGATTTAGAGTGAGTGGAAGTCAAAAAGCACCCCCAAAATGCGTCCCGTTTAACTGGGCATTTGAATAATTTAAAGTGTTTAGCTTTAGATACTTCCTCATAAGCGCCTTTGGCACTAGCGTTATTCGGGATCTGCTCCCACAAAAATGGGTAAGATTTGCGGTCCTCCAAAAAGTAAATGGACATGGTTAGTCGACTGGGCAGATAAGAATAACTTCTTAAATTAATGGATAGATGTACATGGGCTGGTAGCACGAATCGTTCGTTCACTGAACGCTCAGGGAACCTAAAAAACGTTCTGGGAATGTTCTTGGAAGGTATAATGCTACAAGGGTGTTTACTTTTTTGAAGCACACATGTAAACGCAACGAGAATGCATACATTTGTGTTCGCACAGTCTGCCCCACTCACCATTGATTTGAGCATCGTGTCGTGTTATTAGAACACAAATTAATAGACGGTCTTTTCTGAACTGGTCAGTTTTGACGTACATATTTCGCCCCACTTGGGGTGGGACGAGGGTTGACTGCGGTTGGTCGGGGCCTCGGGGTGGGGCATGGCGTGGCGCGGTTGGGGCGTGAGCAGCGCGGTCCAGGTATAAATATAGAGGCGTATGATGAGAAACCAGTGGTGTGTGGTCTACTGCCTCACCGCGCCAACACGCGGCCTTCAAAGGAATTTTCGAGAGGGGGACAGCAAGAGACAGGACAGAAAAATGTTTACATTTATGGTTTACTTGAAGAAACATAAGGATATTCGAATGATTCGATTTAAAATATGATGTAATTTTATGCACTCCTGTTTGCCACATAAGACGTATTACATATGATTGGTAAAATAAGGAACATTGACTTAATATAAACGCCACATTGACGTATTATCGCCGGTGCTGGTAATATGAGTAATATAGAGATAATTGATCCGTGGATGCCAGCCTGGAATACGAAGGTATATTGGAGTTGACCATCGGATTAATGTTTTCATTGGAGAGCTAAGCTCCGTTTTCCTCAAATTTATGGTTATGTTCAACAAACATTGTTGATGAAGTTGAGGTTGAGGAATGCCAGCCCGAGCTGGCCGGGCTTGTGAGACACGCTAAGGCAGCAACTTGTTGCGAACTTTGAGCAGTGTCGGGGCGCTGATGGATCATCCACAACACGACGCTGGCGGCTGCAGGCCAGGTGCTCGCCCAATCCAACAGGAGAGCAAGCTACTAAACTTGTCAGGGACAATTTTTATAAATATGTACGTTCGATTTCCAGCTCTTTACGCTCGATACGGCGTGATCACTAGAGGCGGTATAGCCAAGCCACAAGCGTTCCACAAACCGGCTCCCATTCTAGAACTAGAAACACTATTCCAAAAGTCCATCTCTCAGACTCAGGTAAGCATAGTGTTGGTCACAGCGTCACGCACTGCTAGGTGGTGTCGCCGACCGGCAGAGGGGGAGGGGGGTAGAGCTAAGCATAGGCGCCGGCGCCCGGCGCGGCATCTTAAAATGCAGTCAAGTTGAGGAGTGGAGCGGCGTAGTAAAGCCCAAATACGGCAGCTTGTGGAGAACAAAGGAGGTCCAACATTGTGAACGCACGCGGAACTGTTCTAGCAACAGAACACACGCGAATAAACAAGCATGTTGGAAATTGCAAACCATTAACTGGAAAACTTGCGACCGGAACGTTTGGAAATTTTCCAAATTATTCGGAAAAATTCAAATTTTGTGGGGAATTTTCAAAAACTTTGGCTCTCATTTCTAAATAAATTTGCAAAGTACCTTTTGGTATAACTAAACTTAGTTATCTAGTGTAAATTGTTTTTTGTTTGTTTCAAAAATTGTTTGAAAATTTAAAAAGGAATACGACTAAAAATTTGGTTTTCAAACAACTTTTGGGGAAATTGTATCTGAACTATTCGGACAGAATTTTGTCCGGAAATTCCGACTTTTACTTTTTAACAGTGAGGTGTTTCCAGATTTTTACCAAAAATGACGATGTAAGGAGATACGAATAGTTGCTTTAAGTCCAGCAGTGGCCAGGGGCTCGGCCTGTCCAGCACATCGTCCGAGGGTCCTATCGGACTCCTGTCGCTGCGCAGGGCAGCAGCAAAGCGACCGGACAGCGGCTCCGCCCGGGGGCTTACAGCAATCGATTCATTGGTCCGGACAAGAGGATACACAGCGAGCAATTTGAGAGAAACATGTATAGGGCTCAAACTTAAGAGTTGTCTGAGGTGTTAAAAGTTCTAAAGCAGCCCCCACCTTTTTCTTCCAAGGTTGCTATCTTTTCCTTTAAAGACCGATTTAGAATATAGGACAGTATTTTTGAATTAAATACTTTAAGCGGGCATCCTAGTAACAGGTGACATCTAAGCTTTGGGTGGGCGTATCGACGTCAAACACATTTCGTTTTATAGTAAAAAAGTATGAACTAATAAACGGTATACTCGGTTGTGATCTGGAAACTATGGGTTCTCTAAAGTTAATTATACGCAAAACACACCTATTTAAGGCGCGCTACACTAGGATACCCCCTTAACGAAAGTAAATATTCAAAAAATGAAATTGTGTGAAAATTTGATCTTTTGAAGTTCAAACAAGAAAACGAGCCGGCCGGTAACGACATAGTTCGTACAGCTGTGATAAGAGAGGTCCAAAGCTTCGGATATTATTGTGTCAAACAAGAAAACTGGTGTCAACATCTTCAATAAGGGATCAAGATAATACCAAAATATCGACCTATCAGATCTGCAACGTTAATCGGCGCAATCAAAACTGGAACAGCAATCTTTATCGAAACGGGAAACTCCTACCTTCGGGTAGGGACAGGAACTAGAAACTGTCTAAGCAGCCTGATGTCCTTAACGAGTCACTCACCTTCGTACATCTGCGCATACTGCGGGAATCCAGCTGCTCTGAGCCATTTGCAAGCCTCTGCAGCTTCAATCTCTGCAAAACAACAAAAAAAGGAATAAATCATCATGACATCACTTCAGATTGGAAGAAAGCAATGCAATGATTATGTTCGAGAACTGAAAGAAAAGGAACAGTTGCTCATATCTAGAGACACCACATCGTGGTTACTGTATGGCACATGGCACCACTGCAAGGAGTAGGCAAACTCGCTCCTGGGAGAGCGATGTTGATTCCAATTTCATCACCCTGGGGAGCGATATCAATGTACATCGCTCGTTTAGAGTCATTTTTGCGACATTTTTGGTTAAGACTCACTTTGAACCATTAACGCCCGTCGACCTATTCGTCCAAGAAGAATCCCTATTTTCTAGTGGCGAGTGAACAACATGTCAATGAATGTATTAATAGATAAGCTCTTAAGGTGGAACCGAAATTCGATCGGAGATTCACTTCGCGTCTCGCTACCAAAAGAAAATGAAAACAAATACCAGCAGATTAAATATTGTGTTGAAAATATAAAATGTCTGTGGACTATTAGCCGATGAACCTATACTATGACGTCATATATTTGCTTAATATCGTCGGTTTATTGAGAAAGTTTTCCGACATAGAGAGCACTGTAGCTAAAGCGGGCCCGCCTCTGCTCCTTGCCTTGCCGGCCATCTACCCAACCAGACGCCATTTGGAAGCTACGGTGGGTGCCGTGGCGCCAGGACACATTGGCAAAATAAATTTCTACCCAAAAGTCATAAACATTAACACAAAAGTAGCGACGGCATGAGTTTTAAGCCACGGCCACAGTCCACATTTATAAGGATGTCACAAAAACGAACAAAAGAAAAATCCGTTTATGAGTAGTCAAGAGAATTGTAAGTACAGTGTAACTGTGTAACTGTTATTTCAACCCTGATACATTTTTAAAAATTTTCAACAGTGTAAGCAGCAAATGGGGCACTGATGTCACTCAGCAGCATTAGTCAGTGCAGTGTGAAAGAGATCGAATTATCCATGTGAGTATGCAACCCGCAACCAGTGCCCTCACGTCTGCATGTGGTACAGTACAAGCAAAATAAAGGAAGGGGGTCGGTGAACCACCCAGTATGGACACATTTCTAGCGAAGACGATTCCGAGAATCGAAATCACGTAAACATCAGAGGAAGTTGTGTCAAAATTCCTCCGAGCTTGACCCACTCAAGAAGAAAACAGGGATTAGCATTGTAGCAATCCACCTGACAATTTGTTTACACCTCGTGAGCATCAGGGACGCGGGGATCAGACTGGCGCCACTACCTTGCACATGCAAACACTGCGAAAAATATCGTAAATTTAAAACAAATTTTGTATTAAAGATTTACAGAGTATAATGCAAATTTGCGACGACCAATTATTCCTCGTCAATGAATTCCAAGCCGATACGTAGTTCTTGTTTGTCATTTTACAACACACACCATGGGCAATTTTCCTGTGACCCTTGCAGGCATTATTGGTCACAGGTCACAGTGCACAACTTACCGTTGACCAGCACCAGGACGTTTGTTTCAGTGTCCATTTGTGTGTGTGTGTGTGTGAGTGTGTGTGTGTATGTATGTGTGTGTGGGGGTGGGGTGTGTGTGCGTGAGAGAGAGAGAAGAGAGAGAGAGAGAGAGAGAGAGAGAGAGAGAGAGAGAGAGAGAGAGAGAGAGAGAGAGAGTCGTGGTGACCCGTGCCTTATTGTCACTTATTGTCGGAACCACACATACATTGGTTCAGTGTATACACACACTGAACACGAATACCGAAGACCTTGCGTCACCTTTTGTCATAACTATTTAACAGGCCACGAACTTGCTTTATACGGGTAAAAAGTAATAGCGATTCTTCACTATGGTATCAGGCATCAGAAACATTTCCAGTCAAAAGGAGCCTTATTCCGCCAAAAACGTCGGCACAGACAAAAGCCAGACAAGCGTCACCGCATAGCAGTGCCGCCACCCGCTGCCGCCCGCCGCCGCCCGCCGCCACCCGCCGCCGCCACGAGGGATCCAAAAGACCCTATGCTCTACCTTGGCGCCACTTGGCGCCAGTTGTAGAAAACCAACAGCTGATCAGGGGAGTTTCTCGCAGACAAACATATTCTCACTGTAAACAATAACTTTGTAAATTTAAAAGAATTACTGTCGTCTACTTTTTGTTAACACATAAGCAAAAATATTGTTTGGTTAACAGTAAAAAATAGTCGGTTGGTTTCAATCAGAAATTATAAATTTACAAGCACTCGTCGTTTCGACGTAGAAGTAGTTGACAAGCAAAAAAGGGCTGTCGGAAGTTGACAAGATATATTTTGTAAATGAATATTACAACAAAAATGTGTCAAATTTACGAGGATATTTTTTATAGTGTTGTTGGCCGCTTGGTGCAGGTTGTACAAAAACGACACTGTTAAAAAAGCTGTAAGGAAGTACAGTTTGCCTACAGTCCGTCCTGTATATTTTATGTACGGGCCGGAATGTAAAGATATCGACCTTACTTCACTGTCAAGTCAAGTGCTGTATTGATCAAAAAGTCGGTTTGCGAATTTACGGTACATCCTGTACGGAGTGGACCGTAATCCATAACTACAGTCGCAGTCGTAGTAACAAATTGACAGGGCTCACTGTAGGATTTCCTGTAGGTTTTTTAACAGTGGATACCCATCAGATTGAACACACATTTTTACCTGGCTTGAGCAAAGTGACTTCATTACCGGAATGGGTCAGTAGGACCTTGAAAGTGTTTTCAATATTGCACTCGGGTTCAATAAGGCCGCGTAGCGCATGTCTTATGCGAAGCGCAGGCCCCAGAGCCGCCCGAGGTCGCAGAACAAATCTTTGAGAGGGCCGGCAGCAGCGCTGTGACAATTAGCTTGAATAAAGGTCGTTGCGGATGGTCAAAGGGTGCAACAGTCTGCCTGTGTGAGTCACTTTGCGGGACCAAACCCATTCCGTTCTCGGCTAGTTCCCACGCACACTAATTTGCGCTGTTACGTTTTTGTCTCGACGCAGTTATGTACAAAATTGCTTATCTAGCTGCCAATATTTTTTACATTTTTTTACATTACTGCGCTTAACGTAATATGCAAAATTGCACACAGCTAAAAAAAAAAGGTCCCGGAAAAAAAGAAATACAAGAACTACACGCAGCAAGGTCTCTCCGTGGCAAATCATTATTATTTACAAATAAATAATCGTTAAAATGCTGGAACTTCTCCTCTGAATAACACTTTTTGATGTACGCTTGCTCTTCGCTCTGCAGGCAGTCCACAGCAGGAAGGGGATGCCCCGTCCTCGGCACGTGCCAGGATGAGCCGAGGAAGAGGCGGAAAGGGGTGAAAGGAAAAGGAGGAAGAGGAGGGGAGAGCGGGAGGCCCAGTCCCCCTACCTCTTGAGTTGCCACCTGCCTGCTGCACTTCTTCAACTGAAAACAAAACTGGGAAATTGGGAAAGTAGGAATGACACTACCAGCGAATTTAGAAGAGGCATTTTACGCCTGGCGCTGATTTTTGTTCTATATATAATGAGAGAAAAATGAAAGGTCGGCTACTTCACACTTGAAACCTATAAGCACGGTAGGTTGAAGTAGAATATGGCGTACATTCGCATTCAAAATTTGTTCCAAAAGTGACAAATGTCCGTCAACTTTACTGGGCAATGTTTTACACGGGTCGTAAGGGCGCCAACATTAGCTAATGGAATGAAACACATGCCCTAAACACAAATCTGTGAAATTATCGTTTTACTAATAAAAGAATAAAATATTTCCGTGGCCCTTTTGGCTCTCTTGTTAAACTGTAGCAACTTGCGAACCGAAATACCCTGCTTTCAGAAACTTTCCTTAATTCCCCGGTCTTCCCGGTTGCTAAACACCCAAAATAATCTGTTCACTGAGGGGGAGGCTGCAGTGAAAAGTTGGTCATTTTGAATAATAATGAATGACTCTTAAGGCATTTAATACAGTAACGGACTAATACTTGCAACCCATTCACATTTGTGTATGCCACTAACACTTCTTGGTCAGAGGAACACTTTTTCATCCAACTACACATTAAAAATCATCATATTTCAAAATGTGTTGTCATAACTTCAGCTAAATTTACACCCAACTTTCTTGGAACAAAATTGGTGCGCACGAAACATTTTTGGTAGAGCTCTGCAAAAATAATGTTCAATTTAGAACTATTGAACGGTTAAAGATACATATACTTCAGACAATGCTTTTTCTTAATTTTGAGTCTTTCTGAAAAAAAATATTTCAATGCCTCCTACATTACCAACCTGCCCATCATACAGACACCACTTTCACTGTAGCCTCCCCTTAACAGCATTCGTTTCCATATCGCAAGGAACAAGGTGTTTAAATACTAGGGCCGTATTGTTGCTCCTAGAAATGCTGGTATATACGGTAGTGTGGATATGCTTCCTAACGCAACTACGCTGAATCCTTGACGGAGAAAAAGGGCCTGTCCGTTATCCCTGTCACCGCTCGGCTGTTCGGTAAGAGGTGTAGGTGCCGTTACGTCACCGAACGGCTCTTGTCCTAACCTGTTGAGTCTATCGTGCACCATATGTGCCTAAGAAACCCGAAACAGTCACTTAATACAAAGACGAAAACATAAATACAGTTAACAGGCTAGAATCTGTAGTGTCTTACTTCGAACCTAAAACGGAAGACACAAAATTTCAAACGTGTACTTTCAAGACAGTTCCTACGTACAGTAAAAGACAGAATGCACCGTGAGCATTTAAAAATGTAGGACCACAAATAAGCGACAGATTGATTGTTCGCGGGCAAGGGGGGGGGGG